GATGATGTGAAGTTAACTTATTTAAAAACATTAGTCACGGGAAAAGCTAAGTCAGCCATAGCAGAGTTTGCATACAGTGGAAGAATGTATAAGGATGCTCTGAAAACTCTAGAAAGAAAGTTTGGCCAGCCACAAAACGTAATTACGGCCCACCTTGATAAGTTGTCCAGTTTCCCGCAGCTTCGAATGCACAACTCTGAGAGCATCATTAGCTTCTCGATGACCATTTCAAGTCTAGTGGCTGTCTTTAGGTCTCTTGATTATGAAGAAGATTTGAAAAGCGTCTCTTTGTTAAATCAAGCTCTTTCGAAAATTCCACCAAACATGAGAGAATCGTTGTCACTTTTTGTCGTGAAACGTAATTGGTCACGCCCCAACCTAACTGACTTTAACAATTGGTTAAAAGATAAAGCACAAGCTCATGAGCAAATGAAAAATATTCCTGGAAAGCACAAAGTCGAAGATCCATCCAAAACTAAAGCTGTAACGAGAGTTTTTACCTCGACAAGTACAGTTGAGAAAAAGTTTGAATATCCTTCTTGTATCCTCTGCAAGGGGAAACATGCCTTGTGGAAGTGTTCTGTGTTTAAGGAGAAAACTCCAACACAACTTGCGAAATTTTCTGCGGAAAACAAATTGTGCTTCTCCTGCTTACAAGGGAACTACGCATTCAGGCAATGTCCCAGAGCAAAGAAATGCACCAAACCAGGTTCCACTAGCACCCATAGTGTACTTCTCCATGGCGCTGAACGTGTTTTTCCTAGTCGAAATCCGGACAAAAATGATAGCCATACAAGACCCAACGCTGTTCAACCAAGATCTAATGCAGAGCCGGATAAAGCGAGCACAAACGCTGATCGAAAATCATTTAGCAACAATATACCAAACGCAAGTTCGAATCATGCAGACATTAATCCCGTTCCTTTAGATGTAAGTTGCGCAATCTCGAACAACCAATCATCAATCATAACATCAAAAGGGTTACTGCCCATAATCAAGCTCCAAGTTTCCACCGATTTCCAGAGTGCTGATTGTTTAACATTGTGTGACTCAGCATCTAGTCATTCCTGGATATCGGCTATATTAGTCAAATGTCTGAGTCTCTCAGGAAGAGATTTGGATCTCACAGTAAATGGTATTAACACAACGACTGTTGTTAAAACGAAACAAGTTCAGATGAAGGTGTCTTCTAACTTCGATGGATTCGAATACATATTTGATTTAACCGCATTTGTCAAGGATGAACTTAAAGTCGGTACCGATACCGTCAACATCCCTGCATTACAGAGCAAGTATCCGTACCTTGCTCCAATCAAACCAATTGTGTATAGCTTTGCCGATGAAGACTTAATAACTGGTCAAGGCTCCTTCCATGCTATTCGGCCTGAGGAGTATTTCAAGAGTGAGGCCGATGCAAACACATCGCCCGTCGCGGTTCGCCTTCCAATAGGCTGGGTCTTGAGCGGCCCAATGCCGACATCTGCTGGTTTCCTTTCTACTTGTTTCAAGTGCAATACGGATGATAGCGAACTAGCTTGTCAAATCAAACGCTGGTATGAAATAGAGTCATACGGAGCCTACAAACAGGTCAATTCCCGTTCAGCCGGAGACAAAAGGGCCGCTAAAATACTTGATTCCTCCAGCGTCCATGATGGATCAAGATATGTTGTAGGTATGCTTTGGGCTGAAGAATCTATCATGTTACCAGACAATTACTATTCCTCTTTGTTTCAGTTAAGATCGTTGGAAAAACGTTTAGCGAAAGATCCTCATTTAAGGGATCAATACTCAAAAACTATCGATGATAATTTGAGTAAAGAATACGTGATTCAAGTTCCTCCCCATAATTTTTCGAGCCGCAGCATACGCAAGTGGTATATTCCTCACCATCCCGTGGTGACCCCAAACATACCTGGTAAAGTGAGGCGTGTCCTTAACGGAGCGTCTAAATTCCACGGTACGTCATTGAACAAATCGTTGCTAGTAGGACCCGACCTACTGCAAAACCTTGTGTTCGTTCTCCTCCGTTTTCGTCAACATCATTTTGCCGTATCGGTTGACAATGAAGGGATGTTCCTACAATTCGGCGTCCTTCCAGAGGACCAACCATCTCTTCGTTTTCTGTGGCGGGAGGACCCCACAGCCGATGTGGTTGTACACCAGTACACCAGACATATCTTTGGAGCGAGAGATTCGCCAACGTGTACAAATTATGCATTGCAACGGACTGCAATGGATAATCAGGCGATGTTCCCTGACGCAGCGTCCGCAGTTCTAGAGAAATTTTATATGGACGACTACCTAGACTCCTTTGAGGAACCTGATGTTGCATTTAAAATGAGTCAAGAGTTGTTAGCTCTAGGTGGTTTTAAATTAACTAAGTTCATAAGTAACGTAACTAAAATTAATAAAGACTTAAACCCGCCCCAAAGCGCGCCGCAACAGGAAAGTAAAAATATTGTAATTTGTTGGGATAATTCTTCTCATGTTCTTGGTCTGAAGTGGGACCATATCGACGACTCTTTGGTCGTAAGCCGTGGTGTCAACCGTGAACTTAAAAATTCGATAACACAGCGAACAGTGTTAAGTTTTGTTTCTTTCGTTTTCGACCCCATAGGTCTCGTAGCGCCCTATACCGTAAGAGCGCGATTAATGTTGAAAGAAATCTGGCGAATTCATTGCCAACAATGGGATGATGAGCTACCCGTTGATATCAAGAAGAAATTTCTTGCCTGGCACTCTGGTTTGCCATCTCTAGGGAAAATGAGTATAAAGCGCAGCTACTTCTCCGCACCAGTCGATTGGGTTGAGTTACACAGGTTCGGTGACAGCTCAGAAGAAGTGTTTTGTGCTGTAGCTTTTCTTTGCGCCCGTGTGAAAACTTCACTCGAAACTCAAGTTGCCTTCGTCTTTGGAAAAGCAAGAGTGGCGCCCATGAAAGCGCTTTCCATCCCGAAGCTTGAACAGCAGGTCGCGTTACTAGCTACCCACTTGAAGGAAGATGTCCTCAAAGCTCTAACCATTCCTGTGTCAAACACGTTCATGTGGACTGACAGCACCACTGTGCTCCAGTGGTTAAACTCAGGTAGTAAGCAACCCACGTTCATGGCAAACCGGATTGGAGAGATTCTGGAAAGTACGACCGTAGACCAGTGGTTTCACGTCTTAAGTGGAGACAACCCTGCTGATACGGGAACCAGATGAATCTCAGCGGAGTCCTTAAAAACAAGCAGCTGGGTGAACGGGCCATGTCTGCTGAAAAGTGGCGAGTGGCCTTTCAAGCCGAGCATAGAAATACTTAAGAAAATCCTCCTGGCTGGTCCCGCTTGTGACCTTAATGAAGGTTTACATCAGGCCTCTAATTTTTCAAACGTTGCACAAAAACAAAAACAACCCATTTTATTTGCATGGGAAGAATTCAGCTCGTTTCGTAAACTCCAGCGAGTGGTTGCCTTCATGCTCAGACTTAGTCCGAAACACCGGCACTACCGCACTAAAGTCAAGGAAATAACCGATCCGGTTGAATTAGAAACCGCTAAACAACGACTTTTGTTGATTTCCCAAAAGGAATCTTTTGAAGCGGAATATTTACTCCTGTCCTGCAACAAAACCGTCAAAAAGTCTAGTCGTATTGCACAATATGCACCGTTTACGGGTCCTGCATTTCTCATTCGTTCAACTGGGCGAATTCGCCGCCTAGTTGAAACTGAATATGACACAAAACACGCCATAATCCTTGATGGAAGGCATTCTCTGGTGAAATTGTTCGTAAGTGATATTCATTATCGCTATCAGCACCAGTTCTTAGACTACCTGCGAGCTGTAATTCACTTAGAGTTCGCAATCTTGAACCTTCGCTCTTTATTGAAGTCCATTGAAGTCCACTGCCTTATATGTAGGAAGCGCAAAGCCAAAACTGTCACACCTATGATGGCAGAACTTCCAGTTGAAAGGCTTGGTTACCGCCAGCCTCCCTTCACAAACTGTGGTGTTGATTACTTTGGACCCTTTTACGTCTCAATCAGGAGGAGTTCTGAAAAAGGATGGTGCTTCCTTTTTACATGTATGACCACCAGAGCTGTACATATTGAGATTGTTTCATCCATGGACACGAGTTCGTGTGTAATGGGAATCAAAAGATTCATTGCCCCTCGCGGCACACATTTGGTCTGATAACGGCACCAATTTTGTGGGAGCCGAGAAAGAACTCTTGAGTTGTATTCAGTCGTGGAACGATCAAGCACCCCCAGAGCTGGCGAAAAAGAGTATTAAGTGGAAATTTAACCCCCCGGCAGCCCGCATCACGGTGGTTCTTGGGAACGTCTCGTTCGGTGTTGTAAAAGGGTATTCTAAGCAATAATAGGAAGTAGAAAGCTCACTTCCGAAGTCCTTGAAACAACTTTCTGTCTTGTAGAACAATCACTGAACGCTCGACCTATAACATCAGTAAGTGCATGTCCGGATGGTTTCGAGGTGTTAACTCCTAATCATTTTTTGTTAGGCCGAAACAGTACTAGCTTTCCTTCTCTCTCTTTCCAGGAGCACTTCGACCATCGAAAGCAATATATCCGAGCGCAAAGCTACGCCAACGCAATTAGGAGTCGTTGGCTGCGAGATTATGTGCCAGCGCTGAATAAACGCAGTAAGTGGCACTCCAATAGTGACGTTATTTTAAAAACAGGGGATTTAGTGTGGATTGTTGACAAACGCAGTCCAAGGGGACACTACCCTCTGGCTCGTATAAGAACCCTTAATTACGGAAAAGACAACATAGCCCGATCCGCTGTAGTCACCACCCGCTCCGGGGAACTAACTCGACCGGCTGTAAAACTCGCACCCTTTTTCGCTATTTTGGGCGCGGAAGATGTTCGCGCTTAAACTAATGACGTCATTATAGCGCGAAAAATATCAGGCGCAGTTCGTGATATTTTCCAAAATCACCTACTCCAAGTACTGGCTATGGTAGGTATGGAACCACCAGCACAAATAAACGCAGATCAATGCGTGATGAAGTTGCTAAAGTATTACAATGCCTCAAGCCACCTGATGAGCATGACCTACGTAATAACCTAGTTCTTGGTCAATATACAGGTTCTGACGTGCGCGGAGAGTTCCTGCAAGGTTACCGCGAAGAACCAGGCGTAGCTGAAGACTCTCGTACAGAAACGTACGTTGGCTTGAAAGCGTATATCAACAACTTGCGTTGGAATGGTGTACCCTACTTATGTGTGCACAGGTAAACGCCTACCGACTCGTGTAACTGAAGTTGTTATTCACTGCAAGCGCACTCCTCACCCAGTCTTTGGTTTAGATGCGCCAGAAAACAAACTAATTATTCGTATTCAGCCAGACGAAGGCATTCAAATGAGCTTTGGTTTGAAAGAACCAGGAGCTGGTTTTAAAGCAAAAGAAGTGAAAATGAACTTCCACTATGCGTCTCTTGAAGAAACGCAGATGCTGACTGCATACGAAAGACTGCTTCATGACGCGTTAAATGGCGATGCGACACTGTTTGCACGTACTGATGCCGTTGAAGCATGCTGACAATATGTACAGCCAATTTTGAACGTTAAACAAGATCCTCAAGCGCTATTTGTTTACGCTTGTGGCACATGGGGACCAAAAGTGTCCGACCAATTACTTGAACGTGATGGCCGAGCTTGGCGCATCGCTTGTAAAAACTTAACAGATACGGACCACTGTGAATTATGATCAACCATAAGTTTTTCGATACACCGGAACAAGTTGTTGAAAGCCTTGCTAACGATTTAAATCAAATCAGCGAGCAGGAAACTCCAGCGCATATCTCCCTGTCAGGTGGAAGAACACCTAAAATGTTATTTAAGCGCCTTGCTAAAAAATACTATGCGAAGTCTATCAATCGACAAAATCTACAGTTTTGGTGGTACGACGAGCGCTGCGTAGCACCAGACGATGAGCAAAGCAACTACGGTGAAGCAAAGGCGCTGCTGTTCGATCACATCGAGATTCCAGCAGAAAATATCCATCGCATTCTTGGTGAAAACAACCCTAAAACTGAAGCCGATCGCTTTGCTTCAGAAATGACGCCCCGGGTCGAGATCCCGCTCAAAATATGAGCGGGTTGAGCGGTTTTTCAGCAAGATTTGAGCGGTTTGAGTGGTTTGGGCGGTTTGGGCGTTTTTTTTGGAAAAACGGCTCAAACCGCTCAAATCTTGCTTAAAAAACCGCTCAAAAACCGCTCATTTATTGCGGTGATTTTGAACGGTTTCTCAACCCGGGTCGAGATCCCGCTCAAAAACCGCTCAAGATATGAGCGGTTTGAGCGGTTTTTCAGCAAGATTTGAGCGGTTTGGGCGGTTCGGGCGGTTTTTTTGGAAAAAACGTTCAAACCGCTCAAATCTTGCCTAAAAACCGCTCAAAAACCGCTCATTTCTTGCGGTGATTTTTGAACGGTTTCTCAAGCAAGATGTGAGCGGTTTTTTAAGCTGTTTTTGAGCGGTCTTATAAGGAAAACCGATTAAAACCAAAAAAAAGGCCTGAAAAGGTAATGTGACCCCGGGTTGACATCCATAAACCGAAAATGCTTATCTTAAATTTCACTACACCGAACAAGCTTATCATACAATTGCCTGCGTCAAATGTATTGAAAAATGCTAATCATACAATTTTCATACACTTTCAAAAAACTATTGAAAAAAGATTCAATATAATTTCTCCGGCTATTTGAACCAAATACAACTATCTCGTGATGAAAAATATCTACATATATTTATTTTTTCAAAATTGTTATCATACAATTTCCATTAATGGAAATTGTATGATAACCATTTTTTCATGAAATGCAAGATTTTCAGAAATTGTTCAAACTTGTTTACAAACAAATTTAAATTATTTAAGAGTGCTTTTGCTCAATTTAAAGGACATTGCTCATCAAAAACGAAATTTTAACTTGAAG